ACCCCCCCGTGAAGGCAGCGCGGGGCAGCCCCGCCGTGTCCTGCCGTGTGGCAGTGGTGCGGGGGGTGGATGCAGGCGTGGTGCGGGGGGGCAGGATGCCCTGCCCTATGGTGGCCGGAGAGGGTTACGTGTGAAGTCGCACCGTGGGGCAGTGGCAGAGGGCATCGCGCCGCGGCCGTGTCGCCTGATGCCCATGTCCTAGACGTGCCTTGCAGCTCCCGGGTGATGGAGATCCAGTCGCAGATGTCGGAGCGTGCTGTTGAGCTGCTGGGACTGCCTGAGGACCGGCCATGCCTTCTGCTGGATGTGGGGTGAGTGGGGGCCCTACCCTGTGTCATGTCACATGGGGCATCCAGGGCTGTGGCCAGCCATGGTACCGGGACCAGTTGGGCACCCGGGGTTGAGGATCATCCAGGCCCCATGGCACTGGCATCTCTCTGTTTGTGGGTTAAAGAAGAGGGATGGGCTGCTGTAGCATTGCAGCTGGTTGGGGCACGCTTGGACCAGGCCTATGATTCCTGTGCTTTCCTCCTTCCTCCCTTCAGTTGTGGTTCTGGGCTGAGTGGGGATTACATCTCTGATGAGGGTCACTACTGGATTGGCATGGACATCAGCCCTGCCATGCTGGGTGAGCAGGCCCTTCTCCCCTACCACTTTTGCCTCACCTCAGAGGTGGTTCCCAGAGGTGTGAGCTGGTTGCTTGAGCCGTACTCTATTCTGTGCAGATGTGGCTGTGGAGAGGGAGGTGGAAGGAGACCTTCTGCTTGCAGATGTGGGTCATGGCATTCCCTTCAGGCCTGGCATGTTTGACGGCTGTATCAGGTGAGGTCGTGTACGTAAGCGAGCTCTTGATGTGCCACATAACTGCACCATCTGTACACTACACATGGTCTGTGTAGGGTGCATAACAGATGAGCATGACTGTCCTTATCAGTTGCTGTCTTTGCTCCATGTGACTTGACTGCACCTCTCTGAGATAAGCTGCCAAGATTGTGGATCGTAAAAACAGTTTTCCAACAACTGTTTCCCAAGCAATGCATGTCTTTTTTGTGATGGTGAGCTAGAAAGTTTATTGAAGTAAATAAAATAAGGGATATGGTCAGGAGACCCGCTCCAAGGAGAACAGAAAGTATGTCTGTACCATTGCTCAGCTGCAAAGTCAGTCCCTGGATCAAAGGTTTGATGGTTGTTTTGGGGATGAAGGGCTAGGTGAAGGGGACAGAAGCACTTTTCTGCTTAAAGAATACCTCAGAAAGGTGCTGGGAAGGAGCAGGGATTGTCCGTTGCTGATCCAAATGCTCTGTTTGGGACTGCTTATTGGCAAAACCTGCATGGCCATGCAAGGGCCACAGCTAAGGACTTGAATTATTTGCTCAACTGGCCTAAAGGGGATGCTTGGTGATTCTTTTGTGCTTGAATAACTATTGCTTCTTGTTGGGTTTTGGCATAATAAGTCTTCAGAGGGATTTGTGTAACTGCAGAACAGAAGCCAAAGCTGTGTGGAGAAAATTAAATCATTTCCCTGAAGCCTAGCATGTGCTTAGTGCTGGAAGTAAGCTCAAAGGGAGGTAACAGGGTCTGTGAAAGAATCAATGGCTCAGTGTCCCAGGGGTCTTGTTTTCTTCCTCAGTATTTCTGCAGTGCAGTGGCTTTGTAATGCTGATAAGAAATCACACAGCCCTCCAAAACGTCTTTATCGATTCTTCTCAACTCTTTATACTGCCTTGGTAAGTCTCATGACCTCCCAGTCAGGCCTCTGCCTACTTTTACATCCTTGCTGGTGCATTTTAGTGAGATATTTTAAGCGAGATATTTTAATAAATGGTGCTCTGAAACAGAGGACTGGCAGGAACACCCATTTCCTACCTCTTTGCCTATCCACATGGTGTCTCATGCTTCTCTGATCCCTGCTGTTACCCCTGTGCCTTGCTGTGCTGTGGAGGAGCTGGCTTTGCAGTCTGAGCAGCTCTCTTGGAGGCTCTCTCAGGAGGCTTTGAGGAGGTGGGCACTAGTGTCTGGGCTAAGAATTGGGTGATGAGAGGAGTTGCATGCACTGAGACAGGTTTGTGACCGACTTTATTTCCTGTAGGCACAAGGATCCCGAGCCGTCTTGCAGCTGTATCCTGAGAACTCAGAACAGGTACAAGACATCAGTCAGTGGGGAAGAGATACAGGCAGAGAAGTCGTATGCTGTATGGGGCTCTGACGCATTGTGTTTCTCCACGTCCGGTCTATGTTTCTGTCATTCCAGCCATCTGTACAAGCTCTTCAACATCCCAAAAAAAACCTATAAGGAGAACACCCTCTGCCATTTCTGTTGCTTTACAGATGAATAGAATCACAGAACGGTTTGGGTTGAAAGGGACCTTAAAGACCACCGAGATCCAACCCCCCTGCCATGGGCAGGGACACCTTCCACTAGACCAGGTTGCTCCAAGCCTTATCCAGCCTGGCCTTAAACACTTCCGGGGATGGGGCATCCACAGCTTCTCTGAGCAGCCTGTTCCAGTGCCTCTCCACCCTCTCCAGGAAGAACTTCTTCCTGATATCTAATCTAAATCTCCCCACTTTCAGTTTAAACCCGTTACTCCTTGTCCTGTCACTACAGGCCCTTGTAAAAAGACCTCTCCAGCTTTCTTGTAGGCCCCTTCAGGTACTGGAAGGCTGCTGTAAGGTCTCCCCGCAGTCTTCTCTTTTCCAGGCTGAACAAGCCTGTCCCCATAGGAGACGTGCCTCAGCCCTCTGAGCATCTGATTTTCTTGGACTGAGCCTTAAAGTCAAGGAAATTGGCAAGACACAAGTCCAGTATCCCTCTCCTAAAGAGTTCTGTGGCAAGTAACTCAGGGTGGACTGAGGAGCAGGAGAACCAAATAAAGGCAGCAGACTGGTGTCCAGATGAGACTGCTGAACTGGGAGCTTGATGCAGAGTTTAACAGGGACAACCCATCTTTGGCATGTACAACTAGCTGTGGTCGAACGTAGAGAGGTCTCTTGGGCATTGATGGTGGATGACTGCTAAATACCTTTTGCACGTGCTTCTTTTTCCAGCTGGAGCTTATCACAGCCCAGGCCATGAGAGCTGGCTTTACTGGGGGAATGGTGGTAGATTACCCTAACAGCGCCAAAGCCAAGAAGTGAGTCCTGTGTCTCTGTCTCTGTGTGTTTGGGTGTAGGCCTGGATTTTATTTTTTTTTTCCCCAAGCTGTTCTCTCTCCCATGGTACAGTCCTGGACAGAAGTTACAACGTAGATATAAACAGTCTCAGTCTCCAGGGCACTGGAAATCAAATGCATAATCCCAGCATCATGCTCCTTCTTCTTGTTCTTTCAGGTTCTTCCTTTGTCTCTTTGTTGGGGCATCTGGCACGTTACCAAAGGTGAGCTCTGTGAGGCAGCAGAGTTGCTTTCCTGGGTGCTGGGTGATGTGCAAGAACTGTGGGTGAGAGTAGGAACCAGGCAGCTGTGTGCATGCAGGTGTGACTTGATTTATACATTTGCTGGCAGTCTCATGAACCCCTAGTCTCCCTGAGATTTGGTTTCTTTGCCACTGTTTCTGGAAGACAAGTTTGTTCCTGCTTCAGTCCTTCTCCTTGCTGAGCCCTAGGTTCCCCTAATTTAGATGGCATGACTGTTAGCTCTGCTCCAGAGGAGAGTGAAACTTCCCAATTTTGCTTTTCAGGGTCTTGGTACTGAGTGTGCTGATGGAGAAGAGATACACCAGGCAAAGTTCACCAATGAGAGGTATTGTGTAGGGGATGAAGCTGCATCTTATCCCCAAGCAAGGAGTGGGGGAGTATAAGGGCTGGATCTGGCTGACCAAGGACCACAGTGCTGCCATGTGAGAAGTGACTGAAGGGAAGGGACTGGGGGGACCCGTGGCACCCCAGATGGGCACTGCTTTATCTTATCAAAGGGCCCACAAGGAACGGAATGGGTTAGTTTTGAGGGCTTTGGTGTGTTGTTGTGGGGCTGTTGACGCTTACCCTATTCAGTGTAAGGTGTGCTTTCTGTCTGGCACCTGGCTCTTCAGGTCAGCACTGTTGTGTGTGATAGCAGGGGGAATGTTTACAGTGCTGGTCATACCAAGCGTGGTGGTTATTTTTGTTGGGGAGGCAGGCTGCTGCGCCTGAAACCTGGTGTTCCCTTTCTTGTGCAGTCAAATTCTTTGCTTAGTTCTGCTTATCTGTGTCCTGGGGATTTTCTCCTGCTGGCCAGGTCTTGTCCCATGGTAGTGGTGCAGGGAAGAGTCCCTCTTGCAGCCTGTGGGAGAGACAGAGAACAAAAAACAGAGGAAAGTTGTCATGGCTGCCGTGAGCTTGTGGCTGCCATGTTTTCCTGCCTCTTACACTGCTGTTCTCTGCTCACTTAGTCCAGGGGGTACCTGGTCTTGGAGGGCAATAGCAGAACTGGCAACTTGTTGGGAAACTGGAAGTTTTGTCTGCTTTGTTCAGAGTGGAGCAGACAAGGGGAAGGTGGTTGTGCTTGAGCCTGTATTCCCCTGAAAATCCAGAGCCCAGTGTGCTGATGCTGTGCCAGACATGGCACAGGGGAGTGCTAGCCTGCTGCAGCCCTTGGAGGGTAGGTATCAGCTCGGAGCTGGGGCTGCAAGCAGCCACCTCCTCCAGCACGTGTGGAGTTGGGATGTTTGGCCACCTGCCCCAGTGCTGGCTGAGCTGCTTTCATCCCTGGGGTGGTGGGAGGGATACTCACTGGTTTGATAAGGCAGAGGGTGGTAATCCTCCAGGGGAGAAAACTGTGCTCCTGCATCTCAGTTCCTCTTCAGTGCCGTATGCTTCTCTGCAGGACACGGTTCAGAAATGCCAAAGGCAAATCTGTGAAGAAAAGCCGCGACTGGATCCTTGAGAAGAAAGAGCGTAGACGACGACAGGGCAAGTAAGTTCATTTGGGTCCTGTCTCAGCTGAGGCAGTGCTGGTCTGGCTTGCTGTCACCCATTCAAACTCCTGCCACAAACCTGCTTCACTTCCCCTCCCAGAATGTCCTGTGGATTGTGCTTAGTTACTCTCTGCTTTTCTCCACAGGGAAGTGCGAGCAGACACGAAATACACAGGTCGAAAGCGCCACCCTCGCTTCTGAATTGCTCTGGACACCGCTTGCTGTGGAAGATGGTGTGTTGGTCCCTCCAGCGAGCCTCCCGTGGGTGGCACAGATGGGCATCTCAGGCCTGGGACTTGCTGGGATAAGTCATTGTGGCTCTTCAAGGTGTAAACTGGATCAGGTGGTGCCCAACAGCCAACTGCTAAGCTTCCAGCCCTGTTTTCCTGGTGAAGGTAGAGTGGTGGACAGTGCTCTGGCCACTCTGTGTCTGCAGTGCCATTGCTTATCTTTCTGAGAGTGCAGTGAGCGCCCTGGAGCTCCAGGTGAGCCAAAACATTATATCCAGCCTCCTCACTAAACAGTTAATGCGTCGGAAGTGTTGCTGGTCTCATGTGTCCTGTCGTCTGCAGGAGGGTACTGAGGTAGGAATGTAGCACCTGGTTCCCTGCCAGCTTCCCCTCTGCCCACAGGCAGGTGAGTCAGGGAGTATAAAGGTGTGTGTCCCATGAGGGAAGGTATTCCTCCTGGCAAAAGTGTTATTCCTGTGGCGATGGCTCCTGCGGGTGCAGTCAGGCCCACCCTATAAGCTTTAGTGCGCCTAAATCTGCACCCCAGCTCTTGCTCCCCATCCCTTCCCCTCCCTTCCCCTGAAACAGAGAGGTTCCAGCCAGACCTTTACAGTTACAAATGTTTATTCTACATAAAAATTCCACAAAATGGGAAGCTGTTTCGCACCTAAAGCTTTGGGAGAAGGGAAGCTAGCAGGGAGGGAGAGGGTGAAGGAGAAGAGAGGCAACATACAGTGTCATCCAGCCCAGTGAGACAGCAAGCCAGGGTCAAGATCCACATAGAAAACAAGGACACTTAGCTCACAGTACAGCAACAGTACAACTCCACGGGGGGCTTGGAAAGCCTTCAAGTACATAAATTACAAAAAACCCAATCCTCAGTTTGAGTGCAAGCTGTGCATGCCCCACACTGCTTGTGGAATACTGAATCGACACGCTCCTGGTGCTGGGAGGGCAGGTGGCACTTGGAACAGAGGTGGTGTAACCCAAAGGACAAGTGGTTGGAGGTTGGGGGCTGGAAAGAAAACGTGAAATGTCTCCCCAAAGCACAACCACACTGTTGGTGATTTGGTCTGTACATGCAATGACGAGTAGTTAAGAAGAAACTGAACGGGCTTTCCCGTAGTGCAGGGGTAATTATTGCACCAAAACACCCTCCCCTCAACAAGGACAGTGTGAGCTTGCCTGTGGGGCTGCAACGGCAGCCTGCTCT